CGTTATTGTATTTTGTCTATAGATATCCCTAGAGCGTAAGATCTAAGCCCAAGCCGCAACCATGTTAGACTTTAAAAGTTGTTTGCAATTGTACGCAATAATTATAGCATAAGGAATTACGGATAAGGCCTAAGATTCAGCAGATTTTGTATTGTATTATACGTCGTCGTCGTGTATGTGTGTAGTAATATTTATTTATTATTTTAACATTGATCTAGCAGCAATAAAGCAATACCAATAAAGATAGTAAAGCGATATAACAAAAAGTGGAAACATTTTCTATAACTGCAGTGAAAGTATGGATAATGGGAGCCAATCAATGCATTCCAGATCTTGAAAGAGAGCGAAGAACTTGTCCCCCTCTATCGATAGCATTTCCTGTCGATCAGAAATATGTATGTTCGTTTGCCTGGGATCGCATTTGAAATATGCGCTAATTGAATGTGAAAACCAAATGCAAGTTGGTTGCTGGGATGTTGGGAACTACAATGCCAGAGAGGAGACAGCCAGCGAGCGGATCCAAGGCCCAAATGTTCAGAAAACAGAAACCCCAGAAACCCCAGAAACACCGACGAAACAGATCAGAAAAAGGCCCAAAGCAGAGAAAGCGAAATCGGGAATTGGGAATCGAGCAATGCATTTTGCGTTGTTTGGTTTCTAATTAAAATACCAAAAAGAGCCGAGCCAGCCGACACACACCGAAAACCTAAGCTCAACGGATGATCAAGGTAAATGGAGGCATACAGGCAGCAGCCAGCAGCCAGCAGCCTTCAGCCTCCATCGGGGGTGTGGAAGGGCGGGAGGAGGATCCTCCAACGTGCGTAAATTTCGTCAGCGGTAAACTTGGCTCAAACAAAACGAAATGGCCGCGTTGTGTGTTGTTAATGAAGCAGAAAATGCCAGGAATTTTCGCTTGATTGTGGCTGCCTGTGTCTGCCTCCCTGTCGCCTTTTCGCCTTCAGTCCAGAGATCCTCTGAGTGTTTTATTTAGTTATTGAACAGTGGTATCCTGGACCGTGGTCTGGGCTGGCCTGGGCTTGCTCTCGGTAGCCGGCCGCTCTTTTGGGCACCGCCGCTGCCTCCGCAAGGCGAAATTTTAGCGGAATTTTTGGCGCTTTTTTTTGTAATTCTTCTTTTCTGCGCTCCGTTGATGTTTCGGTGGTTGCTGTCTTTTTTTTAATTAACGCGCTATACGTTTTCGACTTTTGAAGGGCCACAGAGCGCTCATGATGGGCATATAACTCATTGGAATTATGGGGGAAAGAGCAAGAGCCGAAGAACAGGAGAAACCAGACAGGCGGCAATGTTGGCCAAGAAGAACCAGCCAGAACAGAACGTACATAAACTTTATCCGTCTATAATCTAAATATGTTTCTCTCTGCTGCTCTTTTCGTTGTTGTCGTGGCTGTTGCAACAATTTGCTGCAAATTGAAAGCCAATTACGTTGTTTGCAGCATGCCAAGGCAGGCAACATCGATGTGCCCGGGTCCAGGTCCAGGTCCAGGCTGAGGCCGAGGCCGAGGCAGAGACCGGTGCCAGGCCAAGCCATGCCATACCATACCATAGCCAGGCCACAGATCCACGGCAGACAGGCAAAATTGCGAGGCACACACAGCTCTTGTAGACGACATAAATATCAAATACAGGTCCATAAATTTGAAACCAATTAGCCAACTTAAATTGATAATAGTTGCTGTTACCGCCGCTGTAGCTGCTGCTGCTGCTGCTGTTGCTGTTGCTGCTTCTGCAGATTCAGGGGATTCAGGGCATGGTCTGGTCTAGCATTTGCCTATTGGTCGCAGGAAGCTGTCGCCAGTGATGCCCTCCTCAACAAGAATGGCAGTGCCATTCGATGACATACGTCGCTCGTGGTGAGCCGGCAATTTTCGTTACGTCCGACAATTGCTGGCCATATATGTATGGGCCACAAAACTGCAACTGCAACTGCCATTGCAATTGCAACTGCAAGAGAGCGTCTCATATGTCTCATGTCGTGCCTGTCGTGTCGTTCTAATCACAATTGCTGCCTCCTCCACTGCCTGCGACTGCTGCTGCTGCTGCTGCTGCGCCTTTTTATGGCGCTTTTATGCAAAACAACTTAATTTCAATCCCCAATCCGCTTGCAACAATGCGGCGCGTAAAATATGCACTCGCCGCGAGGCAGGCAGACAGGAGAAGGAGCAACAGCAACAGCAACAGCAGCAGCAGCAGCAACGACAGGCGAAACGAAAGACTTTGGCAACAAACTCGTACAAATGTTTTGTCCATTTGCCTGTGTGTCGAGCTGTTATAGAAAATTATCTTAAACTGATTTGATATATATTCAAATAGGCGATGTGCGACACATGTTGCTGCTGTTACATGCAACATTTGCCGTATTTGTTGCACGCAGAAGCCAGAGGAGCCACAAGCAGCAGCAGCAGCAACAGCAGCAGCAGTGTCGTTGCCAGGTAGCCAGGTCGTTGTTATTTGTATGAAATGCAATGGATAACATCGCTTACAGTAAACGTTTAGTTTGTGTTTTAATTAAAATATTTTCATTTCCCCCCCACCGGGAGACGGCCGGTAGATTGCAGCTGAAAATAGCAGACACGCTGGGAGCGGACTGCCTGGCGACTGGATCAAGATCCAGGCACATCCGTGTCGTCGTGGCCGACAAGTGGCATTTATAAGCAGCATTATAAACTAATTTAGTTGGCCAATTGATTGGCTAATAGAGCCTCAGAAACGGTTGATAGAGAGTAAAAGGAAGAAGTGCCCTTCTTCTCTCTGATAGATTCTCAATTAACATGAAAAATATGAACAGCATTAAGAGTTAATCCTCTGAGCAATTTAGTTGCCCCCCACTAATTGATTAGCTCTGCGCGGGGGCACACGGGCACCTCCGACAAGAAACGCGTAACCCTAATGGCCAAAAACAATGAAAAACCCGTGTCTGAGCTGCGGCAGAACCACGCTTTGTAAATGTCAGAGGCGACATTAATGTAGCACATTTATCTAATTAGACAAGCGTTGGGCCGGCCGTTCGGGGAGCTCCGCTTAATGTCTCACGCCAAATAAATTAATCAGCTAATTGATGAGCATAAATTACGTGTATGCAAATGAGCTGGGATCTTCGCTCGGGCCACTCCACTCGCTTATTGATGGCCAAACTGAATTAGATTGGCCAAATGAGCCGAGCAGAGATCTGGCAATTATGTCAATGGCCGATGGCCACCCACTGCGAAAGATTGGGCCACTCTCCACTCTCTAGCACTCTTTCTCCAATCGAAGTGCAGCGTACAACTCAATTAATAACAATTTCTGAGAACAATAAGGCAGGAGGCAGGAGGCAGGAGGCAGCCAGGCAGCCAGGCCAGGCAATCCTTTTTGGCCAACATTTGATTATCTCTTGGCGGCTCTGGGTCCGTTCGAAGACCCTGCCGCTATCGGGTGCTGCCATCGAGGCGGTCGGTCCGTCTGTCCGCCGGTCTGTTCGCAGTGTGCCGGAATTAGCCGACTCTCGCCTGAACTGAACTTTGGCGGCGGTGCACGAGGTCGTGGCCAAATTGCCAGGCCATGCACAGCGGAATGTTTGTTGGCTTTTTTCATTTTCTGTTTTGTTTGGGTTTTAATTGAAACCCGTACGAAATGGAAAATAGAAAATGGACTTTCAACTTGCCAGCCGCGCTGGCTGGTAAATTAGCCAACAGACTATTTCTAATTTCTGCGGCCCAGGTTGGGACCCAGGTCGGAGTCGGGGCCTGCCCTGCAGTGCATTGCAGGGCATTTGGAAATTTATGGCGGGCCAGGCGGTGTCGAAAATAGCGCCAGCGACAGGCGAGCGATGACGACCACGACGACGGGGACGACGACGGGGACGACGACGATGCGAGGCTGATGTTGATGGCTTTTGCAAGTTTAAGTTACTTTCTAATAATGTAGCGAAGACAACAAACAGCGATGCGATGGCAAGATGTGGATGTGGATGTGGATGTGGCTGTAGGATGAGGATGAGGATGCATTGCACACGAAAGTCATAAGCGCAGCCGAGGCAATTAAGTTCGAGCGACAAGTTGCGCTGCTGGAAGCCGCCAGGAAACTCTTGCCCCAGCCTTACCGCAGCCGCAGCAACAGCAACAGCAACCGCAACGGGCTGTTGGGAGGGTGTGCAGCTGTTACATGTTTATGGCTCGAAACGGATTGCACGTAATGGGATTTGCGCTGAGCGACAGCGATAGCCTGTGACTGCGACTGGAACTGCCTCAAATGCAGCCACTTCCCCCAGGTTCAGCATCGGGTTCGAGTTTGGGCTCTGGCTCGGGCTCGGGCTCGGTCTCGGCTTCCACGGCAGTTTCGACTCCAGCGCCTGGCTCAATAAAGCCGATCGCATTACCAATTAGGCGTGCACACTCGGCTAAACAGCCTCCTCCTTGTTGGCCAGTGGAAATTGAATTAGTTGTCGCTGCATATGCGTGACTTGCCTTGGCTCAGAGCCACACAGAGCCACAGGTCTGGTTTGGTTTGGTTTGGTTTGCTTTGGGTTTGCTTTGGGTTTGGGTGTCGCTTCTCGTACGTACGTATGTGTAAACATTTTTTACACTTTGCCACATTCCTGCGTCGCGGGCATAAATCAGCCTGTGCTCGCCTGTCAATCTGCAACTGCAACGCCATTGATAGCATCGACGCCGTCGTAGTCGTTGTCGCCAGACTGGCTTGGTGGTGCCTTTTAGCAAGTGTTCGGCACCTGGCTGGGTGTGCGCCAGTTGTGGCTTTGGCTATGTGGCCATGGTTTCTGTGCCAATGGGAATTATGGCAAGCGGCTGGGGATCCTGTTTAGCCATTTCCCATCACTCTCCAGTCATGCGAAAAATTGTAGCACCTGGGGACTGGGGGAAATTCATCTCTGACTGATTGAGAGTACAATTAAGCCTTGAACAACGTATGAAAATGCTCCAATCTATTATCCATTATCATTATCTATATCGTTAGTTGAAACTAAAAGTAAAAGCACAATTTACCAGATGCCGGATCACCTCGAATCCTTGATTAATCTGCTAGTTTTCCACGACTTTCCCAGAAAGCACTGGCCGCTCCGTGAAAACCAGATGCGCTCGTTGATCAAGTGCGAATACATTTCCCCCAGGGCGGGCACGACATGGAATTGGTCGCCGATACACCGATGCGTCAGCACATTGGTGACGACCCACTGGCAGGAGACGTTCACAAAACTGGATTATTAAAGTCAAAGCAAACAGATCCGATGCCGGACTTACGGCCACTTCGTGTTCGCGCAGCAGTTGCCTCATACTTTCGACCAGCTCCAGGAGCAGCTCAAAGCGCTGGGCGCCATCGTCCAGCATGCGCAAGGAGAACGCTAGCGAATCGATCACAATCACTTTTATCTGCACAACCCAGGCGGGGATCTTGAGTAAACAATTCAGTGAACACGCATATATTAACATACATTTGGATGGGCAATCAGGTGCCGGTAGGAGCTCAGGACGGTGGCCATCAACTGGACAGCATTGGGACAGCTCACGTAGTGGACGTTTTGCAGCATTTTGGACGCCTGAAAGTCAGGTGCTCTCTGCTTATACTCCTTCTCCAGGCCTCTGGCCAGTTCTACGGAAAGACAGGGGATACATGAACACTGCGGTTAAACATTTTATTTAAGAACAACACACCTTGCAATCTGTCGGGATGGAAGTCCTGTCGGGTATCTATGAAAAGAGCAGCACCCTCCAGTCCGCCAGCGGATTTCGGTATTTGCACATTCAAGCATAACTGCAGGCTGCCAAAACAACAATTATACTTCATTCAACACAAAAATAATCATAAATAAAACATACTTACCACATTTTCGTTTTGCCGGTACCGGAATTTCCAGCCAATTCTGTAATTTGGCGCAACGAAATTCCACCGCCCAAATGTCTGTCCAGACTTTTATGGCCCGTTGCAATCTTTTTTGATTGTCTTTCTCTTCTTAATCTGTCTAAGCACGATTTATTAAATAAATTTATGTTATTCGACGACAAAAATGTACTTTCCATTGCCGCCAAAAATTAAACATATCAACAACAACAGCTGTTCGACACAGCTCTTGCACGAGCTGGATGCTATAAAACTTTATTATACAACACTGCAAGAAAACTAGTCTAGTGTTGTGATTACCAGCATACTATTACTATTTGTACTGTATAGGGACTGTCTCAACAGTAGTATATGAATCGATTAAAATCACTTAATTGTAAAACGAAATATTTAATTGCCTAACTATTTAATTGTTACTTCATAGAGTACATGAAGTATTGCACTTGACTGGATTTGACCGGCTCAATTTCCGTTTACCAACACTCACTGACTTGCAGCCCTGCAACTGCCATATGTTCCTTGTTTACATCCGTTGACTTGCATTGTAATTCGTGGTTTCTGCATTGGACTTTAGTCATTGTAATTCAAAATGTTCAACATTAAACAATTAGCCACTCACCTGTATCGCCAGTACGAACTGATCACGTGCATCAACATGCTAGAGCCATGGGAGAGGAAGCTAATCAGTGAGTAATTGAATGACTGTAGATACGATAAGATTTTGCTAATCGAGATTATGCATTTTCTAGATGGTTTCTTCCTGGTAGTGCTGGCACTGGTGTTCTTCTCCAGCTGCTGGTATCTACCCAACTATATGCAAACCCTAATGGAGTTCATCAGTCCCCTTGCTTGGTCTAGTCAGTCCGGAAACGCCGCCTATGTGGCACAGAAAATGGGTACAAGCTGAGCTTCCACCCATCTACGGCCGTAACAAACCCAAACACTAATACTCCCCAATTGAAAGACAACTAGAATTTAAAGAAAATGTTATTGTGATTTATTTTGACTGGTCCAGAATCTGTAAATACTTAATTGTGCCAAACCAAATTCTTTTAACCCACTGCACAATCGTTTTCCTGTACCGCACGATTAGAAACACAGTCTCCACCAAGCGCAGGGCAGAGGTGTTGAAGAACAGACCCACCAGACCGCCCAAAGAGACTGCAAGGAGAGATTTGAGCGTTAATTGGAGTGCTCGTCTATGCCCCCCGCTGCTTACTCAAAAAATCCAAAATGGTTTTCGCCACCCGGCGAACATAACGCTGAGTGGGAAGCTCCACTAGGGCCACACGCACTTTGGAGATGTCCTCCGCATCCTCATCGTCGCTGGAGGAACAGAGAATCACCATTAAAAGAGATGAATATCTCGACCGTAGGCCACTTACTTGTCCGCGGAGTTGTAGATAATGTTATACTCGGGCTCCTCGCATGCACTCATGCACTCGCAGGACTTGCGCTCCGTCATCAGTTTCTGCCTGACTTTGGTCAAGCAGATCAGGCCACGATAGTCGCAGACGGGCAGGGAATTCTGGCCGGGCACAGCCATAAAATGATTGGTGCAGTTGCAGTTGACCAGCTGCAGGAGCACGGTGCACTCCACCACGCAGCCGGAGTAGCTGTAGAACTCGTAAATGCCCTGGCGGTCGTCGACGTGCTCGTGCCCATAACGACATCTTCGCTGCTCTGAGCTCAGGTCCTGAACACTCTCGTCGTTGTGCACCTCGATGACGTTCAAGACGAGCTCCTTGAAGTGGCCCAGCAGCACCGTCTCGCGAATCATTCCCTCGGATAACTGAAACGGCACATCGATGGGCGCATGCACATACAGCTGGACATCGGCGGCGGCATTGAATGTGAGATGTCCAGGCCCCGTCATGCGATTGTTCGTGTACTGCACATGGGCCACCTTTCGAGCCTGGTGGGAATTGAATGAGTAGCACAGTCCGTACTCTGTGGGCACGGGCAGGAACTCATCGCAGCAGTCGAACAGTTCATTGAGGTAGCTGCAGTTTAATATCAACTGATGGCACTTCGTGCGGAACTGCAAGTCAGCAATGTGAATGTGAATGGGGGGAACAGTCTGACTGGCTCTCTGGCGGCATACCACTTCCAGGAGCAGGGTATAGTTTCCGGGACATCGGAGCTTGGCGCAGTTCTCGCAGCTGCTGCAGACACCCCGGTAGAACACTATCTCGCTGATGAAGTCATCGATGTGCATTTCGTGCTCGCTGCCAAAGTGGGCGTCACTCAGTTCCCAAATCTTTTCGGCGTTGTATATCTCGCATACGGTTATGGCCGGAAAAGTAGAGTTCCAATTGAGACTAGGCAATGGCCTTGAGTGGTGGGATTTGTGTGTAATTTAATGTCAAGCAACTTACTAAATGGTGTCCAGGTTAAAGGATACCGACGAGGAGATGTAGCTGTGCAGCAGTGACAAGGCGACATTGCAAAAAAATGGCAACGAAAGATAAAACGTCACAAAATAGAGTATCCCCTTCAGAGCCAAACCCTGAAAGCGGTACCAGTTCATTGTGCACCGTCCAGCGGAAAAATACAAACCAAACTGTTGCCCCAGGAAGTACTGTTGAGAGAGCTTTTGCGGCGTGCCCTTTGGAACAATAGAACCGATTTCAGTGTCGGATATCCATCAATCCTTTGTTCCAGTGCGTGTCCTACATTAGAAAAGCAGAACTACCCTGGTTTATTTCCATAAATTTAGTTCAAAGACGGGTCGAATATATTGTATACTCGTACGTATATAGTATAAATCATATTTGGACATATCAAATTCGTAGGTCAGCAAGGCTATTAATCATTTTTGCTTTAAGAATTAAATAGATTAATTCTTCTGGGCTTTCCCCATTCCGTAATCGTTATACTAGTATTAAGATTAGGTTTTAGTGCCAAGATTTAGTCTCATGCAGTTTATTGCTAACCGCAAATTATAGCATACCAATCGACTTGTTTTATTCTTCTTTCATTGTGACTCAGTGCACAAGAATTCGTATCTATACTAAATTGCATGATAATAAAGAGATAAGAGAACAATATAGGAGAGAAATCCCTGAGTTGCTGTCAGAACTTCATGTAATTCCTTAGGTCGTTCTGGGAAATCACGTTTGTGTTGCATGATCCACGATCCACATAGATATATGGGTTCAGGGGCACGCGATGAAGAATGACTCACTTGACCGCAAAACTAAACTCCTGTCGTTCAAAACTGCATATGACTCAATCATCGTAAGGAGCTGGAACCGATCAATTATCACTGCGGTTTCATTTTCGATCGCCCCCGTAAGGGATTCCCATCTGGGTTCCACAGACAAAGCCTTGAACTCACGGCACATCATATCTTCATATCTCCACATGAGTCAGGTCTAGGCTTGGGTAAATTTCAAGCCAATTAAATTTGTAAATTATTCCCTAAAAAAACAAGTACGAAAACTACTCATCATGTACTTTCACGTAAACACTAATTGTCTGAAGATTCCCATAGATGTGAAGATTGGAACTGCGTCAGAGCTTCAACAGAAATTCAAACATAAAACTAAACCTCTTATGGGGTCCTAAGAAAAATAAAGAATATCTCTTCATTCATGCTTAAAATATATTTCAATAAACCTCAAGATATAAACCATAAAACCCATCATAACAACATCCAACAATTGAATAATGCTGTAAGTATCATATGTATATACATTTATATATTATATACTAAGGAAATCTCTAAAAGTAATAACCAATAGAACGACTGATTGATCTATAACCAATGTAAAGTTCCTAAGGGAACCCAAGAATCATAAGAAATATATCCATTATTCAACAAAAACCTCAAGAGATGAACCAGAAAACCCATTCTAAGAACCTTTCAATTGAAGTATGATCCATATATTATATACACATATTTAAATTTATTTAAAAAAATCTAAAAGTATCTATGGCAAAAGGCTGTTAAAGCTACGGACATAAATAATGCGAAATAGAGGGGTGGACGGTATTCTTTAGGGTCTGCCATTCAGGGAGCACAGCATTAGTATAGGTTCTGCGTTATCCATGGTAGCATGTCGATGATGTTGGCAAACACGCCGGGCTGGTTCCTGTTGCTGCCACACCGCTGGCCGCCAAACGAGATTACGCCGTACTGGACGAAGCGGTAGTTCTGCTTGAAGCGGTGCTTGAAGAAGAGCGGCCCGCCGGAGTCGCCGCGGCAGGTGTGTGCGATGCCAGAGCCGGTGGCGCAGATATGGTTCTCATTGACGGGGGCATTGTTGTAGTAGCTGCTGCAAACGGAGACGTCCTTGCGGATGATCAGAGCCCGCTGCTGTATGGAGGCAGCGTCCTCCTTGTCCGTGCGACCCCAGCCGGCAATCAGAAAGCTCTGATCGTGGGCCAGTTCCTTGGACTTATCGTCGATGGGCAGGCAAATGGGTGCAATGTGTGACTTGGGCAGGACCACGCTTCGATCCAGCTTGATCAGGGCAATGTCATTGTTGATCGATCCATGCGTATAGCCGGGATGCACGCGGACATCGTCGACGCCAAACTCCTCGTAGGGCGGCTGGCACACCCTATGAACTCCACCCAAATACGTACAGTCCTGCTCATGGGCCAGATCGTGCTCTCCCAGACGCACTCCAAGCCTGCAATTGGGGATTTGGGATTAAAGAATTGAATCCGATTGTCGTTTCGAGTCTCGGACTTACAGTGGAGGCTGTTGCACGATGCAATGGGCAGCGGTGAGGATGAAGCGATCGGTGATCAGGCTGCCGCCGCACAGGAACTGACGTCCGGAGGTCTCGTACTTGAGCAGCGCCACCCAGGGAAACTCTCCGGGCTTTGAGTTGCGGCCGCCACTCACCTTGGGATTGCCCCTGTTGCCGCATTGGGTGACAGAGTCGAGCAGCCGATAGCCCTGCGGATCGATGCGATTCAGGTTGCCGGAGACAGCCCGCACCGTCTTTGTGGCGGTGGGCCTCGGTTCACTCTGTTCAGAGCGTGTACCAGTCTCGCCAGGGCAGCATAAATGGAATTCCTGCAGAAACCCAAGGGATTGAAGTGGGAGTTCTCAATTTTTGAATGTTTTTCCTGGACTTACATCAGTCTCCCCGGTGCACTGCATCTGCCGCATTTGGTTCTGCACGCGTCGTGGTATATTCCGGCCGTAAATGTCGATTAGCTGCTTCACAAAGCCGCACTCCTGCGATGGCACACACAGGCCCGCGACCCCCACAGGTGTGACGCAACTGCTCTCTGAAAGTAAACGAAACTTCCGGTCACGCCCATTCCAGACGACCTCTAACCTCTCTGAGCACTTACGTGTTAGAGCCAGCTCCGGCCAGACGACAATCAGCAAGATGAAGCTCAAGCGTAGGCTGAATGTGAATATGGTACCCATCCTGTTCCGATATCTGTGAGTGAGATTTGCTATGGGGTCAGTCGGTCTATCTGCTGCCGCTTAGTTGGAGAACAGAAACCAGTCTCAAGTCGGATATATATTTATAGTGGATACGAGACTACTGGTGGATAATAATGTCCAACATGCGCGCTCAGCCGATCAATGTGGAATGAGCCGCAGATCGTCGTGAGCCGAGCTTTTGTATCGCTCTCATCGCTCGGAGATCGTCTGGACCGTGTGCTCGGGGGAAGCGCCAATCCAGAATGCATAATTGCCCCGCGCAATCCCCAGATCGTATAGCCAACAGGTTTACGGCTTACAGTGGCTGAGGGCCTCTGCCTGTGTTAACGCCCCAGATCTGGGCTCAGATTAGCTTCCACACTTGAGATAGTGCCTCGACTCGGCCATCGCTACCACCGTGGGAAAAGCGATTAAATTCCAGGAAACCCCCCATCGAACACCGATCACTCTCCATAGCACTTGAACTATTCTCGAAAGTTTTCTATATGTCTCTCTCTCTCACTGGCACGCGTCGCGAGAGAACCGAAGCCGTTGTCGTAGTTGTATCGAACAGATAGGCGAAACACCCATTATAATCGGTACTTTTTTCCCGACGTTGAATTAAAACGTTTTCTAAATGTAATTTCTATCGCAAGCTTCCCACTCACACGCCCCATGGGAGGACGGACACACAGACAGCCAGGTACTCGGTTTGTCTGTGTGTGCTGCCTTCAAAACTCGTTCTTTTGGATGCTCGTACTCGTATGTGTAACATGGAATTTCCAGATCTGAAAACCCCAAGAGGCTATGGAATATCAAACGCTTAATTCGCAAATGCGTGGAACACACAAAAAATCCCCCAAACGTTGTGGTTTGCCAATAAAACAATCCTTCTACTATTGTCAGCTGTCAGGCCGTGTTGGGTTGGGCTGGGACACTCCCATTAGGATAGGTCGGAATGCCCCACGGTAAGTAAGGGTTCAATCAGTAAATATTTAATCTAATCGTACAGTACATAATTAGATTGTGTATATCCCCTTTAATAGGCGGTGTCTGGCCATTATTGAAGTTGCACAATCTTGGATTTAATGAACTGCACTTTACCCTAAGCATAAGTACTATACTATACGCCTCGTTGCGTTATAATACTGATATATCAATATTCATAGATAATGAGAAATTATTAACCGGATATGCAATAATCTTTGTTAGTAACTAAGCGATAGCCATGGAATAATGATAAAATATATATTAATGATTCACTAGAAAAGACACGTTACAAATGTTTATCGTTATATTAAAGATACGAATGGCAACAAGAGATAAAGACTTGCTCTGCTCAAAAAATTCCTGCTATAATATGGGGCACTCATTGAATTGTTTTTCTAAGAAAAACGTATCTCTAAATATAAAATACTCGGAAACAAGGCGAGCAAAGGTTTCGACAGTTTGCACTCATTTTTGTTCATTATACATAACAAATATCTATAAAATAGCACTCCAAAATCTGGAGGTAAAGGAACATATAGATGGTTTATGGTTTAAATTTAATCAAAAACCACATCCCATCTCCACAATCCCCCATTAAAACCACAAACTTGTGAATAAGTTTACAAATATGAATATAATATAATTATATTTGGGTTTCCTAATTACTTAAATACACAATAATATTGGGTGTAGATCATTCTCTCTATTGCCGTGCATCGATTCTCTTACAGACCGTGGCTTGCCATGGTGTCTGTTATCCATTGGACATACTCGCCGACATTCGTGTAGAGGCCGGGAAGACTCACTTGGCCGCAGGAGACGACACCCTGGCTGACGATCCCAAACTCCACCATGCGAGGGGCAAACTCTCCCAGATAGCGGGAGGGCGCCTGCAGGGGGCCACCAGAGTCGCCCTTGCACGAGTCCTGGAGATCACCGCCGCCGACGCACAGCTGCGTTAGGGGCACAGAACGACGGTAGGCCTGGGAGCAGGCCGAACGTGGCTGGAGGGGCACATTCGCCTGGAGAAGGACATCGGAGGAGGAGCCATTCTCCGTGGTGCCCCAGCCGGTCACAAAGTAGGTGTTGATCTGCTCCGCCTGCTGCTTCAGTTCATCTGTAATCGGCAGGCAGATCGGTTTGATGTGCTCTGGGAAACGAAGAGAGAAGTTTAAGCCAAGCATGGGTGGGTGATCGATTGAGGACTTACTCTGGAAAGGAACGTTTCTCTTCAATCGCAGCAGGGCAATGTCGTTCATGATCTGGCGGGCATCGTAGTGCTCGTGGATAATATATTTCTCAATGCCCACATCCACAACAGGCGGCGCACACTTCCTCTTGCGTCCCTGCTGTCTGCAGTCCTCCTCCGTTGAAATTCGATGCTCTCCCAGCCGTATCTCATCGCTAGAGCAGAGAAAGGTAACTCATCAAATAGGGACAACCATAGATATTCATATTTTTGTCTTACAGATCATCCTGGAGTCCATGCACACAATGAGCAGCAGTCAGTATATAGCCTATAAAGAAATTGAATCATGAATTTCAGATGATACAAAGTGATCTCTTTGGGGGACCTACGCTCTGAAATGAGGGCACCGCCGCAGAGGAAACGCGGCTCCCCGAATTGCTGGTAGCGCAGCAGGGCCATCCAGGGCCTGGACGACAGCTTCACCTCGTAGCCATTGGCCACGCGCTGGCTCAGAAAGTTGCCACAGTCGAAGGTCTCGTTCTTAAACAGAGCCATCACCTTGGAGTTGTGCTGGATCTGGGCAGCAGGACAGCAAAAGTGGCGCTGAAAAATCAGACAGTATCGGATCGGATAAGTGGTTGCATCAGATCTTTGCTGTGGGATGGCTTACCACACTATTTATTTCCCCGCAGGAAGCCTTCTGTAGATAGCTGGCATAATCGGCTGGCACACTCTGGCCCGACGTCTGGCTCTCCGTCAGCCGTTCCTCAATGTCCTTGCAGGAGGAGAAGGGCATGCACTGACCCGACTCCCCATTGGGTGTAGTGCAGTCATCGGCATAGTCTGTAGATTGTTTTTCAATGTTAGCTAAAGGCAATAGGCTTGAAAATTCATTCCTCGAACCTGCTCCAGCGGCCTGCACACCGAACACGAGGGCAATGCCATAGACAACGACAAAGCATCTGCTTATCATTTCAGAGAACTGATCGAAACGTAGCCGAAACCTGTAGTAGTCCAAAGCTGAAAACTTCTCAATCTGACGCTCAAATCTCGACTGGCAGCTGCTGATCTCAGAGCTCAAGTTTTATGCCTGAGAAATCCACTCAGAGCTCAGCTTGAATGCCTGAGAAGTCCACTCACGCCTCAGGTTTTATGGCTCAGGGATCCACTCAGAGCTCAGGTTTAATGTCGCAGAGATCTACTCAGAGCTCAGGTCTATGTCTCAGAAATAAACTCCGAGGAGCAACCTCTGAGAGAGAACCAGATCTATAAGCGTGGACATCTCTCCGATCTCCATTGTTAGCACGAGATTTGCGCTCTTTGTGGTCAAGAATAAATATAAGAATATATGAAAAACAAAGCGACTCTATAAAACTAAGCTTTTGGCTCAGAACTTGTATTGACGACACATTGGTTCTCCGCTCTGAAAGCTGCCCGATCAAAGCTCCAACGCCGAGAGTATTCCATTTCACTCAAGATTATAGAGAAATGGTTCATTAAATGAAAGATTCCTACTAGAGAAAAGGGCATATACAAAATATATTCCTGCAAATCGAAGAGTAGACTTAAGCCACATTTGAGCTCGACTCTCAGCTCAATATTAAAATATCCATAGTCAATTTCTGTTGTTTAATTTTTATTGTTTATAGCACATCATCAAATCTAGTCAATTGTACAGTGGCTGAATCGGTCCGATCGATTGGGGGATGGGGGTTTCATTATATTATATCATTGATAGTACGAGTAGTAGTACATTTATGCTGACCTTGTGTAACAATAAATTATAACAAAAGCTGCTTAACTGCGTTAATAAATATCAGACATGGCTCAACAACAAACATACTCGATATATGTATGCCCGCACGGATATCCCACACAGGATACACGTGGGACAACTAAACAAAACACGAATCATAGTCTCTATAACTTAGTTGGGTGTTCTAAACGGATATTAAAGGCTGCAAATTAGTTGCTTTACTTTTTGGGGTCGTTTTTAGGGGGCTTGTGCTCTCACCAGTTCTCGGAGCTGTTTAGCTTGCTGTCTGTTTGGCCAATTGTTCTAGGCGGTCGTGTTGGTAGTGGGTTGGTTGGTTGATTGCTTGCTTGGGGGTTTGGTTGTCTAATTTATAGAATCTCTTCGCTTTCTGTATGGCAACGAAAGGGAAACATAGCAATAGATCAATCAAACAATTGTCGAATCTCTCAGTTATTAGTTGTGGGTGAGATTGTTATGAGTAAGCAGTGGTTTTGATATAAATATTTGATATATATATATAAGTAGCTGTTCGCTTGATGCCGCCTTCAGAGTTAGTAACAGATCAGCAAGAGAAAGAGGGAGAGCGGGACATTCAAAGGGCAAGCGTAAGCCGAGAGAGAGAAAGAGTATTGCGGTTAGGATTAGCAAATCAAAAGCATAGCACATAGCAAATACATTTAGTAGTAGAATTAATAGAATAGGAATACTGCGTAATTGCATTTTTCAGAGTCATCGTCAACGTAATAGTCATCGTCATCGTCATCGTCGCAGTCATTGTTATCGATCACAAAACAATAAACATTGTAATTTATACAAAACTAAAAACATATATCATAACATACATATATAATACTAGTATATATCAGAAACATATTGAAAAATACATATAACGATTATTCCGTTGCGACCGTCGCTCGAATCTCTACTTGTAATATGACTCAACGCTTTCTTTCGTTCTAGCAGGTGCGATATTATTAACAAAGAGTGCTCTCGTCGGGCGGGGGTCACCAAATGGGGAGCAGCCGTAGTGATAGAACTGTAGAACCATAGCGGTGGCTTGTTGGTTGGCAAACGGAGGCAAACGAATCAATCGCAGAACATATATATAGAATAGCAGTTGAAATTTGTTGTGTGTTCTAGATGTAGTAGCTTTTGGTTAGTAGATTGGTTGATTGCTTGATTGGTTGGGTCTGGTTTGGTTTGATTTGGTGCTGGATGGTGAACGAACGCTTGGAAGTACGAGTAGTAGTAGTAGAAGTGGATTAGGAGATGCAAAAACATAGAGTAGGTAGTGCCAACACGCTTGAACTTGAACGCTTGCTTATTTGATGGCGGCAATGAGCGGGCTTTCTTCGCCTGGAACAGAATGAAAGAGAGAAATCAAAATTAGTAATCACTTTTTTTTCCATAGAGCTTGGTGGGCACTAATTCACGAGTCTTAATGTAGGGCATGCGCGGCCAGGTCCAGGTCACGGGCATCGAGCACTCATAGTTGAAATTATACAGCTGATCCTCCAGCCACTTGCGCTTGTCCTGCGGCTCCGGATAGGTGGATGCCAGACCTAACCACAAAATGAAAACATGTAATGGAATATATAGAAATCAGACCCGATTCTTACCCTTGTCGTAGGCACACTTGGTCACACCAATGGCAATGTTCATGGACACATCACGGATGTTCTCCAGCGGCGGGTACAGGGAGCCGCGCTCAATGTCGCTGGACTCCGTAAAGTTGGCCAACTCCTGGGCGGCAATCAGGAACATGTCATCGGGTATGTGATGCGTGCCCGTGCAGATAACGCCCAGACCGACGCCCGGGAATATATAAGCATTGTTGCCCTGGCCCGGATAGTACGTCTTGTCGCCCACTTTGACCGGTGGGAAGGGCGAGCCCGACGAGAAGATCACGCGAGCCTATAAACGAAACGATTTATAAATAAAAACGCATAGGCAAGGACTTTGCTGAATCTTACATCCGTGTTATGGTATGCCTCGTCGGCGGTGCATTCCGCCTTGCTGGTGGGATTGGAGAGGGCGAATATAACGGGCCTATCGTTGTGGTCCGCCATGGTGCGTAGGATCTTGGGCGTAAACAGGCCGGGACAGGCCGATGCGCCAATGAGTACCTGCCAAAAGAAAAACAGTCGTATGTCAGCAAAATGTCAACAGGTTTCCTGAGGATTTGCACTTACATTTGGCTTAATGGCCGATACAATCTGCTCGAGATCCGCCATGGGTTCAATGTCCTTGGCATAGTTCACTTTATGACCCTCCAGGTTGCCCACTTTGCGGGTGGTCGTCAGCAGACCGTCGATATCTACCATGTAGATCTTATGGTAAGCCTCTTCGATGGGCACGCCCTCGGCCACCATGGCCTTGACGACTAGATCGGCAATACCGATGGCAGCCTCACCGGCGCCGGCAAACAGGAAGGTGTAGTCCTTGAAGGACTTGCCGGTGATGCGCTTGGAGGCATACAATCCAGCCACAGCCACGGCGGCTGTGCCCTGGATATCGTCGTTGAAGGTGCAGTAGTTGTTGCGGTATTTGTCCAGGAACCTAAATGCATTGTGATTGCCAAAGTCCTCGAACTGGATGAGGGTGTTCTGCCCGTAGCGCTTCACCACCGCCTCCATGAACTCATCGATGAAGTCGTCGTACTCGCGTCCGACCACACGCTTCTGGCGCAGACCCACATACAGGGGATCCTCCAGCAAATCGATGTTGTTGGTGCCCACATCGACTACAATGGGGAGGCACTGGTGCGGTTTGATGCCAGCGAGGGCCGTGTATAAGGCCAGCTTGCCCACGGGAATGCCCATGCCGCAGGCACCAAGATCTCCCAGTCCAAGGATGCGCTCGCCATCGGTCACGCAAATGGCACGCACGTTTGGCTCCGGCCAGTTCTTCATCACATCGAAGATGTGCCCGCGATCATTGAAGGTGACAAACAGGCCGTGGGGACGCCTATAGATCAAGCCGAAGCGCTGGCAGGCCAGGCCCACGGTGGGCGTGTACACAATGGGCATTAGATCCTCAATGTTCTCCGAGAGGAAGCGGAAGAAGAGCCGCTCGTTACGATCGTGCAGATCGCTGAGATACAGATACTTGTTGAGCGGCTCTGTGTAGCGATTCACGGCGATTTTGCACAGCTGTAGCTGCTCTTCCTGCGTCTTGAAGCGCGCCGGCTGCAGGCCATGGATGCCCAGAACTTGGCGTTCTTCCAGAGTAAACGCCAGACCCTGGAAATAGCAAGATATTGCTTAAAATGGGTACCTCTTGGGCTGCAAATGGATATTTTACCTTGTTCAGACGCGGATCACGGATGTGATCGATGCCTCGCACCTGCGATGGGCAAATGATGTCGCCCACCACCTCATGATACCGACGGGCCTCGCACAATGCCAGAGCCGAGACAGCCGGCGATGTGGTTGTTCCTGCTGCTGCTGCTGCAGTTGTGGAAGTGCCGCAGCGGCACAATTTCCCAAAAGTTCCACACAGACTGCAACGGAAAAAGGGGAGGAAAATTGCACATAATTTATCAGTTTGTCAATTGAAGAAAGGCAATCCTAAAACCCCCCCACTGACGATGATGACACTCTTGACATTGCCACTGGAAGAAATACACGTACACATCAAATATAATGCTATACAAGTATATATATCTATATATACATATATAAATGACCATTTTCAAGGTCTCTATCAGCTGGTTTCGGTTTATCAACGCATGGGGGCATACCACAACAGAAGAAAAGTAATGCTTTCTTTGAATGCCGAAGCTTTTAATACCCTTGGCAGATCGATGATTGCTATGAAAGGTGTTGGATCTATTTCTACAGGTTCGATTACGATTAAATCTTTTTGAATCATAACACAAAAACATTCCGTTTTTCTTATAAAGACTTGTTTTCGACCGTTATTTTTGCCTGTCTTTTATGGAAGATTATAGATGATTTTTAAAAGTTCAATTGAAATATTATTAGGAACTATTAAAAATGATTCCATTTATGCATTAAAAATCCCTAATCAAAATCATACTACCTTCTGGAAGGGTGTAATACGAAAAACTAAGGGTAAACTTAGTCACATTGCGGAAAACCCCTTCTCCTCTCCTGAGATAAGAAAGATAGACGGATGGATATCAAATAACATGGCGATAAAGTATGTACATATGTATAACATATCAATTTCTGGTATTATTATTTAAACAGTTGTCGCTAATTGCAGAGAGACAAAGACAGAGAGAGAGAGAGAGAGAGAGAGAGCGAAGGGGGACAAAACAGCAAAAAATATGTATGTATAGTCGTGTGACTAACTTCCCTTTACGGTTCATTGATGAAATCATGCTCTCCAGATCGTTGTAGTTTTATGAACTAGTGGAAACCCGTTAGTGACGTTATATTGTACACATCAGAAGCGCATGACGCCGCCACGAGACTATGTACCCTATGTACCCGTCGCCGTCCCCTTCTGCTGCTGGTAATATAACTCGATGAGAGAGCTTCTTGACTGATAATTATCGAAAGAGTTGCTAGGGGCAGGTCTGCGGAAGAGGCAGGGGCAAATGTGTTTAGGTAACGCTATCATTTCCGTCAGTGGAGAACGATCGCTGCCCTCACATGAGCCCAGAGAGTGCTAAACAATTTCGCATATCTGCCTCCATCAAAACCAAATACGAAAGACGAATAAGTGCGTGTCGTAAAATGTTTTTGAGCGGTTCTGTAGGTGTGTGTGTATACAGTGGGGGCCGCAACTATCTGTACGCGATTAATTTTTTGTATCGTATAGCTTAAAAGCACTATTGTCCCTTTAAAAACATTTTTTTCATTGTTATTAAGTCAATTTGCTACTCAATAACTCTATAAATCAACAGGTTAAATCCTGGAATTGATCTGTTGTAATCTTTCTAAAAGACTCAGAATAGAGATCTCAATCTTTTTTTGTATTACTTCCTTTTGTGTTCCTTGACTAAAGATTATGGGTTTCAAAGCCTTAGACTGGCTATGGCTTCTGGTATTTTCACAATACGTAAATTTACTCAACTTTTTCTGTGTTAGGGCTGTGCGAATACAAAATAGACGCACTGTCGGTGTGTAGGGCGAGGGCGACAGCTGACCAAGCAGCCGCGCAGCCCCCCATGGTTGAACTTGAACAGGAGTCAATGTACTCTTATTGGATTTTCGGCGTGCGTCAGCTATCTAACGGTCTGTCAGAGAAAAAGATGGTAAGTAGACCACACGGGGGATAGGGGGGCGAGAGCAGGACAGAAGGTGCGCAGCGCGAGAAACATTTTGTTTTTGTGTTTTTTGATGAACTTGGCAACGAAAAAAAGTGCTTACAAAAGCACAAAAACACCAGCAACAGCCTCATTAAGAGGCAGAAGAGCAGAAAAAAGCCAACACATCTGTCGGTATACACACTAATTTTAGAATTTTCGCCAGTTTCGACCAGACAAGCCGTTTGAATGTATATCCATGTCCATGAACGTGAAGGTGTCGTGTCGCCAAATTGTTGGTATTGATTTTTCTCAGCTGTTTTTGCCAGGGAATAGACAGAGTGAGAAGAAGAGCGTAGAGTGCAGTCGAATCTTATGCAATTCAGAGGAAGAAAAGTAAAAAGGAAGATGCCAAAGAATGTCCGATCAGCCAGCAGCAGCTGTGAGAGGAAACGAAGCGGGTCAATGCCAGGCCATGTGCGAATATGTGTACATATGTATAACCCTTGGTAAGCTCTCACGAGTGTATGTGTGTGCGAGTGAAAGCGAAAGCTGCGCAAAGAAGGGGGGTGGAGAGCAGATGTCTTTTGGCGGCCATCCGTCTGCCTCGACTGCCCCGCGACATCGACTAGGTCACTGGGCTAACAGCTGGGGCAGTGCCTGCCACTCGCCATGTTGCATAATGCCCCAATCCTCCCAAAATCGTGTAACTGTAACTGGAGTCGAGTCCTTTTTGCATTGTCTTGGAAAGCGCTTACCTTGGTCGTGAAAACATTTTTTCTTCCTCAAATTGCTTTTTTCGATGTTAACTTTTAGAACAATTTATTGCTTTTAATAGATTGACACTTATTCAAACTGCTACACTTTTAATACTTTTAGTTGACTTTATTTTCGTGTGTCGTGCGGAACGAATAGAAATAACGACCACCCTTAAATTTCCAGGAAAGGAATTGCTTAGAGAACGCGCGGGCACAACAACCACCACTAGCGCGATGCCGATTTTGAATAACTAAAAAAAGCTCAAGTTTACGATATATCAATAAATCGGAGCCGGAACCTTAAAATATACCGAAGCAAACCGTCTCATTTTCAAAATATACCGTAAATATACAGATGAAAAACGAACTTAGCCCACTTAAGCCCCTTGATTCAATCATGATTGGTGGCTAATCATGTGGCTCAAATAAGGTTTAAACAAAGAAGGTCTACAAAAATGTATCTATCGAAATTGATATGGAAATGCAGCCATATTAGATCATATTTATTTCATAGAGATTAGCCCCTTGGTGCATTCTGAACTAGTTATTTAAGTTTGGTGAACCAACGAAAATTACTTGATTTATGAGAGAAATATGTCGAAATAAAAATTCTGCAGGGTAGCAATAGAAACGGTTTCCTCTGATAAACGCATAACATGCATTGATCACAAAAGTTATATGATCACTGATTATGATACCTGAAATTTGTGAACGTATCAGTTCCGTTCATCAAAAAGGTGTAATCGGAATTGGTTGGTACTAAAATACCAATCGCTGGAATGTTTTCGATATCGATATAACAGCTGACAGTCTGGTAATTGTTTGTTTTCATGCTGGGGTTTTTTTTTTAAATGGAGCAAAGTAATTGTGTGCAATCAAGTATGTAATTTTGTACCATGATAGTGCATCAGGAAAAAATTTCATTTAAATTTTCTCTGGACCCGCCTTTATTGGCTTCTAAAAACGGCTCTGCCAGTCTCGAAGAATATATGGCAAGGCATACATTCCGTTTTGAATCATACGCTTGTATGACTTTTGCCAAAGACTATTATTTGATGCAAAAGTAGGCCGAGTAGGCAGCGGGTCGCGGTCGCAAGTCTTTGAAAAACCCCGCAATAGAATAGGTTTTTAGTCCCACATGCAAAATCTTGGTATTGTGGTATTTGGTGGTCTAATCATTTAATAATCCCTTTTGCAGATGACGAGAGAATGTGGAACTCGAATACCACACAGCTACTACTCCGAATGCTTTTGGATAGGATACAAAATTTTAAGAATCCGATGAAAAAAAAAAGGGAAGTGTGGCAGAGCATTGTGCTCGAAATGGCAGAGCATGGATACTACGACCTTACCCCCGAGCAACTTGACAGGAAGTTTAGGAACTTGAAGAAGACGTATGAAAAGATCAAGAGCAATAACAGGGTCTCTAAGTGGGAGTACTTTGACAAAATGGATGCCATTCTTGGCAGCAAACCTGTAGTATCCCAAAGCAAAAAAAGGCCAAATACCGAAATTGTATATCTCAATGAGCAACCGGAGGATCAGAATGATGAGGATGATGCTTCGAATTCCGCCAGTACGAGCTCAAAACACTTTAAAACTGAACCGGAGCAAAATTACGAGTACAGTCCAATAGCCGATAATTCCAACATGAATGATATGGAGGAGTGTTCGTGGTCCCTCAGTAACTGCTCAATTGTAAGTACACTTTCGATCATTGATTGCTTAAATGCTGATCCAATACCCTTTTGACAGCCGAAAAAAAGTCCATCGCATGGTACGACTTCGAATTCCAGTGACATAGTAAACTTCCTCCAGGATCTCGTAAAACAGGCAAAAGGAGTCAAAGAAAAGCCCCCATTTAAAAATATGGAAGTATTGACCTACTGGGACTTTCTTTTAAATGATATGCCTCCAGCTGTAGCCAGAGATGCTCGTCATAAAGTGACGAATCTGCTCCAAAATTACGTCAGCGCCAATCAAAAAAAAACCTCGTAGAGTATAATAGAATATAATAAAAACAAACAAATTAAATTATTGTTGCAATTTGTCCATAGCCAGTGGAACCATAATTCGGGATTTCAGGAAAAATTAGATTTTGTCCATTTTTAGGGCCTAACAACCGATACCAATCAGTGGAACGCAAAATTGAGCAGCTTTTAAATATATCGATTCATCGATAGTACCATCGATTGCTCTTTCAGCTCTATCTCTTCGCCCATGTTTAGCCATTCTACTTTGTGTTTTTGTTTCGTTACTCGACATGGGCATTCGCATTCGAAAAAAAAACTTTAAACTAAACGGACGACGCCGCTGACGACGGAAACGGCAAGGGCGGATGAGTGTTGCGCGAGTTTAATGGTTTTTTCGCTCCCGAAAAGCCAGTTTCTCCACATTTCGTTAAATATATTTAAGAATTTTTAACCAAAATCGACGCAATTTCCGCCTGGAGAAATGCAGTTGCAAGTGTAATGTGCGGGAGTGGTGTGGAATAAGGAATAAGCGAGCAGGAAAAAGTCACGCGTGTGATGTGTTGTTGTGGCTGCTACGAATCGAAAAAAAAAGTCAAATCCAAAAGGCAAAGTGCAAAAGGCAGTCAAAAATTAACACCAGACAAGTCGACAACTAGACAAACCCAGAATTTCGGAAAAAAATTATAAAAGGTGTTAAGTGAAATAATGTGCATTTAGAGGTGGAATCGCGACGCAAAAGGCCCAAAGCATCGCCAGCAGGCAGCAGCAGTCGCTAAACATATTGAACGTAGTGTGGCCAAGGCAGTAGAAGTAGTGCCGTTGTTGTTGGTCGTGTGTATTTCTTTGTTTTGTTTGGTTTTCGTGTTCCCCCGCTCCATATCTCCTGTCGCGCTCACACTCGTTCGCTTCTGAGTGTTGGTGCGTGCGTGTGCAAGTGTGCAAGGACAACAAAAACGCACTTCATTGGAAGAGGAAGCGATTGAGTGCATCAACAGCTGTGGCGGCGCTGCAACTGCAACGCTCCTACAACCACAACAACAACAACGATGGACACATTTCGCAAGTGGCTGAACAAACCCAAGGTACAGTAAACGGTGACTCTGATAACCCAAATCATAGTTTCCCTCTTATCACCTCTCGCACTGGCTAAATATATAAAGAGAGAGGTGGAGAGGCGGGAGAGTTGTAATTAATTAAGAGCAGCGCAACAGTGCGAATGGTGTCAAAGCAACTCTGCAGTGTATGTGTTTGTGTGTGTTGGTTCGTTTGTTAACTGTGTCGCTGTGACGTCAGCGTTTGCTTTGGCCCTGGTACAAAGCATGCTCTCCTCTCCCGCTCTGCCTCTCGCTCGGTCTTTGTGTGCCAGCTGGGCTTTAACCGTTGCTGGATGATTAATTCGCTGACGCTGGCAGAACACGGCAAACAGCTACAGCACACATCCACACATACAACTGCAACAATTGCATTAGCATTTTGTTTTTGCACCATGTGCGGCGTGTACGTGTGTGTGTGTAGTGTCTGTGTGGAAACCGCATTCACTGCATTCGTTCCAGTCTCAATTCAAATTGGAAATACACTCTCACACACACACGCACGCATACATGCTCACACGCACCAGAAACAAAAGCAGAAAAATGGCGCCAGCCGCCGCCTGTGTTCGTGCTTGCAAATTACAAGTAAAACTAATTTATGTATCTACGTCTGGGGTAATTTTGGATCGGATCTGTTCTTGATACTCGCGCTACTCGTACTCGTACTCGTGCTTATGGGTGCAACGGAAAATAACTTGGAACTTTCCCATAAAAAAAAACAAAACAAAACAAAAACAATGTCAAAGTAGTTTGATGGGGGCATCCGTAGCCTCGGTTTTCCAGTGATTGAGTAATTTATTTTTAGATTTTCGGCGGCATTCAGACGCGATTCCGTCACTGAATTCCACATTTCATCTATATATAGCTTTCTCGTTTTCTCCGCTTGCTGCGTTGCTGCCTGGAATATGTTGTACCGTTGGAAGAAGGAGGAGGAGGGACGAGGGTCGCCGCCAAAAATAAAACATTGATGGAAAGCCCCTCGCCCCTTCTCACACTGCAGCCCCTTGGGGAGCGAGCCTCTCTGTTTCTGATGGCCGATCGCTCGTCAATCTGTCAATCCGCTGACATTTTGATTGCCGTCGCCAGATTTTTGAGTGTACCCCCGAGGAAATCGAAATTAGAAGCAATTTACACGTAAATCTACAATCCATTCAATCGGAGGCAAACACTACATTACATTTTTGTATGTGTGTGTGTGTTATACGACGACGACGCTGACCTCGGGTTACCTGGAGGTCAGTGTCGACATTGGCTGGAAATTTCATTGTGGAAATAACGAAGCAAACAAACAGATGTTTCCAAAGGGTTTTCAAGTGTTTCAAGAAGAGGTCTCTGTAGATTGTCTATATCTGTCGTTAGATTAGATAAGATTGATGAAATAATGGGGATTGTGAAAGATCGATGGGAGTGTTAATAGAAGGAAGCAGCGATTTCAAAATTTGTCCATATTTGTACACCAAGAGTTTTACTTTTTAAAATTAGAGCTAGACCAAATCGAGTAAATCGGGGGTTAGAGGAGGCTAAACTAGAACTACACCATAACCAATAAATAATTCAAAGAATAATGTTGATAAATCAAAGATATTACTACATTTCATTATTATCCTTACCAATGATTGATTTTCCATTAGATGTATGTAACTACATTTTTCCCGAATACTTGAATTTGGAAGCATTTTTCAACGGAAAATGAGGTTTTCGAAATGGAATCGACTGTTTCTTGGCTCCAAATCTATCAAATTCTCTAGTCTCCCCTTCCTAGAGAAGTTCCGTCTGTGGTTAACTTTTTCTTTTATTAATTTATTACGCTCTAAATAGATTTAAAAATTTAGAAATACAACATTTTCATTGCCTCACTTTCCGGATGCCGCCTCTTTTCTGCTTCTCTTTTGTTAATTAACACACTTCTCTCTCTCTGCTCCCCCCTAATCCCCCGCACCCCACCTCCCTGTATTTCCCCCCTTTTCAACACAATTGTAGCTCATAAATAACGGTACGTTTTCCTTATTTTCTTGAAAAACGTGCAAAGCAGTGCAAGCAGCTGTGCGGCTGGCGGCTTACCACCAAACGAAATAGAAAATGCTGTGGAGGCCTACGGCAATTTCTGCTTTTCTTTTTTCCCGCTACTCTTCTTTCCCCTTCATCTCCTCGCCACTTCTATGCGGTGGCTGCTCTTCTTTCGTTCATTCATTGACTGACTGCACACAGTTTTTCCGCACTCGTTTCCTGGTCGTCGATGTCTTCTTCGTTTTCTTCTTCTTCTTCTGGTTTTTCTTTGTTTTTGCTTGCAACTTTCTTTCTTCTTTGTGTAGAGATGCGCTCTGTCTCTCTCGCTCGCGCTCTCTCTATCTGTCGAGGACGCGTCTTCTGTCTTGGTCGAGCATCGAGATAAACCGTAATTTAATACGAAGACAGCGACTTGCATTTCGAATTTAATTTTCGATGTCGAACGAATGAGTTGAAAAAAACGTGTAGCCTGTGTTGTCTTTAAAATTAGATAAAATTCCAGAAATATTTTACGACAAATTTACTAAATCTTTGATGAAATTTAGGAATTTTGGAATTTTATTCAAGAGAACAAACATTTTTCTTGCTTTATTCCAAGGTATATTAATGTGAATATGAATATTAAAGTAAATTAAAGTATTCCAACACGCGACGCGCAATAGATTCCATCGTCTCTAGCCAGTCACTATTTACACGTTAGCCTTGTGCTCTACTCGTACTCGCGCCGGATGCAAATAATTAGTTATGCCTGTGCCTATGCCTCTCCCGGTCTCATCGGAACTCCCATTGCAAACTTCTTCAAGTACAACCGTACACACATATATTTTCCCTTTAAGGGGTATAATGAATGCCTTGCAATTGTGTGCGAACCCCACAACCGACAAGCGAGTGAACCTCGTAGTCGTCGAAACAATGGTTTGTGGAGGCTGAGAGAAAGAGGCGCAACAGCGTTGCCTGCAACCTATAAAAACAGAAAAAAAAAAAAAACGAAAAGCAAAAAAACGCGATACGGATCCCAGTCAATGGGGCACCGAAAAGGCAGCGGCACGCGCCACAGGCGATTTTAATTGATTATCAGATTACCAGGCAGCGGCCCAATCTTTGGGCATTTTACAGAAGGAAGACCCCACATAGTATTACATCATACCCCGCCTTATAGCATATATAATTTTTGCATAAATATGTAATCGAAGCACGGCCAACGGTTGATATATAGGAAGTACGCTAAAGCTAAAGCAAACATTTTTCAATTCAATTGCTTTATAAATGTTTAACGATCAACGTTTCACGAGTGCCAGCACGAGTAGGTTTGTGTGTGTTTAGAGATTTGTGAATATATCACAAATAGTGGGTGCGGGGGTCTATGATATTCATTCGTTGCGGCAGTCGTCTGATCAGTATTTAACACATGGGTTTTTGCGACTATTGCCTATCGGTACCATCCGGGATATTCCCAGCATTAGTGAAACTTGATATTTATGGGGTTCTCTGTACCCTGTACTCGGAAGGGTATATGTTTACGGATTGTATTGGCTATTAGTTTCATTCACATTCGCAGGTGTTAATATTTTCCGTAAGATTGTTAGGGGATCATTGAAATCGTTTCTCTGTTGGTGCCATTCGAAACTAATATCCTCTTGTTTATGGGAAATTTCTACGAAATCACTTGCTTGTGAGCAACTGGACCTCCAGATAGGTCTCTAGCTTTAGGAACCACTCGTTTATTTATGGAATCTCAAGTTTCAAGCTCTTGCACGCACCAAATATTTTTTTAAAATCTCTAAATCTTTCATTTTTTCTACACTAATAATATAATTGTAGCAGCGGATACGCTGCAGTCTGTATATCCTATAACATTTCTGCCTTATATCCTGTTTCTCATAGTTTCCTCTTTAATATTCATTGTTTCCTCTCTTGAATCCAATATCGCCTTAGATCTTTCGATAGATGTGTCTGTGATGCCTCTGCTTGAAATCTAATAAAATTTATACGCGTTTTTCCTGTCTGTTTTTTTTCCCCTTTTGTTTCTCATTTGAAGTTGGCATTGAATTGTTTTATGGCCAACAAATCCAACAACGAAACAAAAGCAAAGCAAAAAAAAAGTGAAATCTATTGGGCGCCTAGCAAATGTACAATTATTTTTGGGCTCTTTCGCTCGCCCTCTCTTGCGCGTATATCTCGGTTTTTGAGAGCATGTTGTAAGCAGAGTTGGCTAAAAAAAAATTGTACAAAAAATGAGTAAAAATGGTGTGCAATTAAAGTCGTTTTCTGTTGCGTCGTCGTCGTCGTCGTCGAAATCGTCCATTAACACAATAAACTCTGACTGTGAGGCCTCTGAAAGTTGAGGTCTGCCGAAAAAAGCCAAGTTTTATTTCTTATAAAGAAAACATCATGAGTGGGCAAAATGGAAATTACAACAATGCGAAACGTTTAACAATTGGGTTTAGGCAGAGGGCCATGAAGGGGCGGGAGGCGGTAACGAGGCGGTCATGGAGGGAGGGCAAAGTGGAGGTAGATCCAGTACAGAAAAGTACCCAGTGCACTAGAGAAGTGGAGATATATCCATTTAAAAGTAGAGACATATGTATATGCGGTAGATAAATGGATAAATACTTGTTCCCAGATAGAAAAACACTTTGCTTTGTTGGAGGATATTTATTTATTATACATATATTTAATTTTTTATATATTTTATTTATTTTATATTTTGTTTTTTATATATTTTTTTTTTATATATTTTTTTTTTATATATTTTATTTTTTATATATTTTATTTTTTATAAATTTGATTTTTAAAATTTTTTTATTTTTTTACTTGTTACATGATTTTTTTTTTAAATTATTTTATTTGTATTTTTTAATTTTGTATTTGTATTTATTTATTTTAAATTATTTAAGGGATCCCTGTTTTAATAAGAGCTGACATAAAATAGGCTTTAAAAACGTTTTCTTTGATAGTATCTAATCGTTTAGGGGAACAATCCC